CCTGCGCTCTTCACACGCCTCCTGCAGGGCACATTTGGTAAAGTTCGTGCATTCAGGCTGCCGCCAAGCACAGGGAGTAGCACAGCTAAGGAAAAGGGCAAAAAAAAAATGGCGGACGGAGTGGTTTGGCGACCCCCGTGAAATGGTCGTGCGACCCCAAATGGGGTCGCGACCCACAGGTTGAGAACCGCTGCTCTAATTAATAATATGAAATCCCTCTAATAAATCAAAACCCCAGTTTTCTTCAGCCTTATTTTGACTTTCTTCCTTTGCCAACTAGCCTTTCATATCAATGATTTTAGATCGTCAAATAGATCTCCCTCCTTTATTATATATGTTATTTGAAATAAAGGAGATCATTTAATTGCTATTTTTTTGGAAGGGCTAGCCCATTTGTATTCATTAAGTTGTCTCCCTATTATTCCAATTCCCCATGATTGCCCTGATATGTTTATCTTCCATTCAATCTGTTCTTCTTTCTCAAATTTGTTCTGATTTATATAGAAAGTCTTTTCCATTTTCAGTGTTATCACTCCCTTTTCTGGATTTTCCATTAACTGTATTTGTTGGTCAATTGAGTCCTCTGAATATTTGATTGTTCCATTATTCTGTTATCTTCTGCGTTATTAGTTCTTTGGTTGTAGTCAAAGTTCTTCATCCATATTCTTTTAATAATGTGTTAAGTTGAAGACTTTAAAATCAGACGTTAAAAATAATTTTATAACTAGGTATGGGACCTCTCTTTCACATGTTTATAAATAGTCTTTATAGTAGAAGTCATTGGTCAAGCAAGATTTTATAGTCCGAGGTATTTCATCATCTCATATAGTAACCAATGTTCCTCAGATAAAGAGATAGGAAGGCAGTTTCCCTCATATAACTCTGAAAGTCAGTAAAGGTTTACATTCATAGTTCAAATAGGCCAGTTATGCCACCCAGCTGTTCTCTTTACAGCAGAGTTTCTCACAGGTGGTGCCAAGGTCAAAAGTGTCTTATCTAAGATAGGAAATAACAAATTGTAATACCAAACTTCACCACAAGATGTCACCGATGCCATTTAAAGTTTTTAAGTCCAAAATTTTTATAATCCTTTTTCCAATTTTATTTCTTTTTTATAGATAAAAGCAAAAGTCTCCAATAAAAATAAGAAAATTTTTAGTCCCCAAGTTTCAGGGACATATAAATCCAATTAGATTAAAGTTGTTCTTTTAGTGTTTTAATTCCCCTGGGTAGTCAGTCGCCGCTATTCTTAGAGGGTGGGATAGAAATTCCCTTCCATCTTTCCTCACAGGGGGAAAGCTACTTTGGGCAGCTTTTACAGGAAAAGAAAATGCTTAGGATAAAGAGAAGATCAGATCTCACCCAGTTTCATCCACGTTGCTTTCAAAGTGCTTGGTGGTGAGTTTGACTTTGGCTGTCTGCAGCCTAATGATGAGCCGTATTACTATGGCCGGTCTTTCCTCTGCCGGTTTGGAGGGCTGCCCCAGATCGAGCCGAAGGGCTGCTGCCCTCCCGCGATCAAGCGGGGGTCCCCTCCTTGCTCATCGCCCCTAGAGGGTGACTTTCGACCCTTTCCAGGGTCCCCCAGCGGAGCGAAACCAAACGCGGAAGACAGAGCTCACCTTCCAGCATCCGCGGCAGCTGCGATGGCAAACTGGAAGTCCCTTGTTGAATTTTAAAACATACATATGCATGTCCACTTCTCTCCAAATATTATGTAGCTATATTATTCATACACATTATTTGTTAAATTTATACTTGTCTTTTCATTAAAACAAACCAGTGCTGCTAATAATAGCTACTTGCAGATAGAATCTAGAATTACAATTCAGATGTTAAATATATTAAAAGGAATTAATGTACATTAATAATTCTACCTGCTTGAAATCTTTACACTGATTTTGTGTCATTTTTAAACAAGCTGTGACTTGGAGAGTCTGATTGCAGTCAAAGATAACAGCAAGGAGGGGTAAGTCTCTATTCACCTTTGGTATAGATATTTAGTATTAATTTGTACTACTTCCACCATTCTTGACACCGCACAAAAGTGTTCAGGTAATCCTTAGAGAAGGGTGGTGCATAGTTAGAATCGGAATTTCTGTTGGTAAGCAATGTGGATGTAAAGCATAATGTCACATGACTGTGTTGCTTAGGTTGGCAGGATGTGAGCACTGCTGGGCTGGAGGTGGTTGTTGCAAGGTTTTTGAGAAGGCGCATGTGGGGCAGCACAATACAAGCTTTGGAAGGCTGGGGATGGCTGCTGGAGGGTGTGCAAGAGGCCAGTCTGGTGTGAGCTCTGGGCATAGTTGCAGGAGGGTGAACGAGGGTGCAGCGGGCGGTGGGCAGGGGTGGCTACTGCAAATCAAGGACTACTTATAGTGGCATGACTTGGCTGTCTCCATGCTGAACACTATCTTGCTTTTAATGTGTGCTTCAAGGCATTGTCAGTCACTAAGAGAATTTATATTCCTTAAAACTATTCTTCGATGGTGTCAGAAAAAGAAGGATAAGACTTTTTCAAAACTGGTACAGTTAAGAATGACTTAAATCTGCCTCCCTCAGGACTTGGAGACAAAGGCAATTTGGTAAAATGAAGTTGGGCCAGTGTATGCTTAGGTGTAAATGAGAACTGGACCTTAGAAAGGTTGGGAACCGCTGTTCTAATCCAACCCTCTGCTCAAGCAGGAGACATGATACCATTCCGGACAAATGTTTGTCCAATCTCTTCATAAAAATTGCCAGTGGTGGAGTACCCACAACTTCTGGAGCAAGCTTTTCACCTGATGTGTTTTTCTCAGTATTAAGAAGTGTTGTAGTAATTAAACCTGCTTTGCTAATCTCTTTCTGAGATTAGAGCTGTACTGGCACAGTGGTTAGAATGCAGTATTGTAGGCTGACTCTGTCCACTGCCAGGAGTTCGATCCTGACTGGCTCAAGGTTGACTCAGCCTTCCATCATTCTGAGGTCAGTAAAATGAGGACCCAGATAGTTGGGGACAATATGCTGACTCTAAACCACTTAGAGAGGGCTGTAAAGCACTGTGAAGTGGTATATAAGTCTAAGTGCTATTGCTATTGCTTTGAAAATGCTCCTATACAGTGCTTCAGTACTTAACAAGTTCCTACTGTAATTTGCAGATCATATAAGGTAAGTAAGATAGAAAAAGTCATAAGACTCCATTTGCTTGAAGGAAGCTATGCCTTTAGGTCTGCCTTCCCCTTATGCTTTTATATCAGTTTAATTTTGCAATATATTAAAAATAAATTACCGTTGTTTCATCTTTACAGAAACCAAGATCTGGATGACTTCATCATAGTGAATTGTACATTTGAGCCAAGTGACAGGAGGTGAGTTTTGCAGCCACAGTGGGCATTTGTATTACATTTCTGATCTAGTGTTAAAAACAATAGCTTTCATTATACATCCCAGTCCCCATCTGGCAAAACCCCGAGTAAATCTTGCATTATTTTATTCATATCCTTTAAGTATCTTTTCTGTTCTAATAAATGGTATCAAACTTTTACTGTGATCAAAGATCAGCACACAAAATGTTTTTTTCCTATGTGTCTGTACGTTAGATAACTTAATTTAAATTTAATTTAAAATATGAATTATAAAATTAATTACAAAATTATACAAAGAAATAAGCTATTGTGTCTTTATGGCAGTTTTACAAATTGGTGATAAGACAACACTCTGCATTGCATCTTGACTGGTATCTAACAGCAGCAGTTTAATGTAAAACTCATTTGCTTTATCTGGCATTTGTTGGATGCTAGATGGCATTTGCAAGAGTTCCTGGAATAATCCCAGTTAAGGGCACATGCTGAATTGTCTGTGTCAAGTCATATACAGGTAGTCCTTGACTTACAACACTAACGGAGCCTGTCCATTCATGTCAGAAGTTGAGGATTATGTTAAATGAAGCATCTAACTAATGACCTCCCAGTCCCTGTTTTCCCCAATGCATTCGTTAAACGACTGCGTGGGTTGTTAGGTAGAGCATGGGGTGACTTAGGGTTGGGAGAAACCAAGGGAGGCCTAGTGCAGGCACAGGCACTCCCAGTAGGCCTCTCCCACCCTTTACAGACATGTCAAACTCACAACATCACGTGACGTTGCGCAACGTATCGAGATGGTTTTGCCATTGCCGGCAATGGGGTGGGCGTGGCTTCCGGATGACGCATCTGGCCCGCGGACCAGCAGTTTGACACCCCTGCATCCCATGCTCTTCCTCCTGCCCCTTGGTTTCCCTAAAGCCCTGTGGGCCTCCTTCATACCTCACCCCATCACCATTCGCTTACTTACATTTTGACGAACTCAGGAAGTCAGTGTAGAGAAGGCCGCTCCCTCGCTGGGCCACATGGCACAATCAAGAAGAATATATCTGATCACTTTTGCTTCCATGGCAATTCTTTCCTCTCCAGCCAGCATAAACTACTTCTCCTTAGCTCCTCCGGCGCTAGTTTTACACTGGTGGCGCTAAGAAGATATTGTAGTGGTTTACCCTAGCTGGGGAGTAAAGGATTGCCACGGAAGCAAAAGAAATGAAATTTCTTCTTTGCTCTACCAGCATAAAACTAATGTAAAACTAGCACTAATAGAGCAAAGAAGAAATCCCATCTCTTTTGCTTCCATGGCAATCCTTTCATCCCCAGCCAGCGTAAATCACTACCAATTTATGCTGGCTTGGGTGAAAGGATTGCCATGGAAACAAAAGAGATCAGATTTCTTCTTCTTGATTATGCCACGTGGCCCAGTGAGGGAACAGCCTTCTCTACGCTGACTTCCTGAGCTCATCAAAAAGTAAGTAATTGAATGGTGATGGGGGAGTGGAGGCAGGGAGGAATGCATAGAACCCACTATATTGGCAAAACAGGCCAACATTCTGGGTTCTGGAGGCCTCTGAGGACCTGGCCAGACAAGATGGGAGAGAAATAGGTGGGTGGGTTGCTGCAGCATCTCTGAAGTCAGTCGTAAGGGCGAATAACCACAGGAGGGCTGCAAAATTGGTAACTATGAAACGGATTCATATTTAGCATTTGGGATGTGCGTTGTAACTTTGAACGTTCATTGAATGGCCTGTCGTACTTCAAGAATTATCTGTATACAGAAAGCTTCATATATTGGAATATTGTTATATCTGTCAGTTAGGAGAGCAGAAGGTGAAACATTATGGCTAGCTCTGAAGAATTCTTTCCTTAAACTAGAGGAGATCAGAGTGCTCAGGTTATTTATTAATTTATATTTATTTATTAAATTTATATGCTGCCCATCTCATCAGAGACCTTACATCTGCTTACAAACATTAAAACTAGTACACATTAAAATAATAACAAGATAAATAACAATAATAAATACCGTTAAAGGATGGGAGGAAAGGGAACCCAGAAAATATGAGGAGAGGTGGGGGTCTTTCCTAATCCAATATTGGTGGACCCTCATTGGGCCTCCAGGCCAACTAGCAGAACCAGATCTTCAGGTCCTTGCAGATCTCCTCTTGGGGAATACAAGATGGGCAGGAGCCATGGCAGAAAATCCTCTTCTCATGGACCACATGAGCCAAAAATCCTTGATTGACAAGGTGCACAGCATGACCCCCCACACACACACTGCTGGCTCAGGTGGAGTGAGCCAATCCCAATGGCTGATATGTTACTTCAGATAATTTGGACCCATGCCATGAAGAGCTGTAAAGATGACATCTTGAACTGCACCCAGAAGCAAACCAGCAGCCAACACAGCTCTCAGAACAGCAGTGTAACATGGGCCACCCTATGGGCCTCAAGAACTGCCAGTGCCACTGCATTCTGCACCAGTTCTGAATATGCTTCAAGGGTAGCTCCATGTAGAACACATTGCAGTAGTCCAAGTGTGAGATGACTAGGACTTGAATTTCTGAGCACATGGCTCCCTACCCAAGAAAGGATGAAATTGGTGCACAACACGGAGTTGTGCAAAGGCTTTCCTAGCCAAGACTGCCACTTGCTGTTCGAGCAGGAGTCGTGAGAACCCCCAAGAAGCACATCAGGTCTGTCTGGGATACTGCAGCTCCAGCCAGAACTAGAGATGTTAAAGCCCTGGAACTCAAAGCTCCAGGTACCCAAAGTCATTTGATCTTTCTACGGTTCAGTTGAAGCAGTTATATAGAATTGAGCATCATCCGCATACTGATGATACTTCAACCCAAGGTGACAGACGATCTCATCCACTGGCTTCATGTAGATAGATATTAAAAAGGCGTGGAGAGAGTATAAAGCCCTGCAGCATGCCACAAAGGAGTGACTGGGCTGGATCTCTCACTCCCTATTAACACCAATTGGCCTCATAGAAAAGAGTCAAACCAGTGCAAAACTGTGCCACCCAGCTTCAAACCCTATAACTGGCCCCAAAGGATACCAGAGTCAATGGTATTGAAAGCCACTGAGAGGTCAAGAAGAGTAAGGACGATTGCATCACCCATCCCACTATTGCTAGAGATTATCAATGATCAATGCTCTTTCTGTCCCTTTCCTGGGCCTGAATGCTGGCTGGAAGGGGTCCAGATAATCAGACTCTCTGAAGCTGCTGTTGTACTTTCC